CTGCCCTATTTAACTTGACTTTCTAGATTATACTGTCTTTTCACATTCCCCTTGCTCAACAAACAAATAAACAAAGCCTCAGATTGTTCTTTGCTCTTGGGATATGACTGAAAGTAATATCCTTCTCAAAGCAGGCTGCATAATGTACCCAGAAGTCTACTCTTGGGATGCCTAGGGTACCTCATGGTCTTCATTATGTCTTTTTGCAAAAATCAGTACCAAGAGATGATAAGTCAAAGAAGGTTTGAGTCAGTCAAATCTTTTTTCTTGGTAATTTACACTAAGTGACTCAACAAGAATTTCTAATTTGTGTTGGGTACTACTGATGATGGCCATCACCAGTAGCAAGCACTTAACATACGTATGAGAAAATAATAAACACCATTCTCAGGAGACTGAAGCTACTGTGCAGAGAGAAAGAGAAATGCCAAGAGTGAGACTTGGGGACCCTTAAATAAGAATGAATGCTTTGATCCTTTTAGGTATTCTGGTTTTAGTTCTAATTCCATAGTAAGGTATATTGGTATACTTTGCCACCAAACACATTGTGTTTGAAAGAGTGTGGTAAATTTTATCCAGTGGTATAGATTTCATTGCACAGAATAAAAAATCACACAGCCATGTAATTCATGCTCACTTATGTGATAGGCTTTTTTCCATTTTTCCATTGTCTCAATCACCTAACCTGGAAAATATTTTATTGTAGGAAAAACTGACTTTGTAAAGGCAACTTCTACTATTATTTCAATTGCTTCTGAGTAGTAATTTATTATTTTCATCATTTAACCAGAGCCGATTTTAAAAAAATATCTGTCTTTTAAAAATATTCTGTATTCAGACTTCAATTATTATAATGTACATTGCTTCAAAGTAGCTTAGAATGTTTTGTTATTATTGATGTTATTTGCTGATCTTTCCAGCATCTGTATTGGAGATTAAGAAAGAAATGCTGATGGAATAAACACTTTTTTCTTTAGATATTGAAAAACTATGTTTAAAATGGAAATAACTATACATAAAGGAGCCTTTAAAGACTTTTTGCATAATAGCTTTAAGTTTTTTTTTTTTTTTTTAGTGCCTCTGTACTTTACTACTTCCCTTAGATCTAATCTCTGGTATTTGACCTAACCAAAATTACCTGTCATCCCCAGTTTCCATAGATGGGTTGAAGCTTTGAAGTAATTCCATTTGGAAAGCTAGTATTTTTTCCTAATATGATGTGAGTCCACGACTCCATTAGAACCTTGTTAAGGAACTGAAAGTTACATTTTAAATCTCAGCCAAATGTCTGTCTCTCTGTCTCTCTCTTTCTATCTCACACACACACACACGCACACACACACACACACACACATCTGGGTCTCAAAATTAAAGTAATAATTAACAAATCTATTTTTCTTTTTTGAATAGAAACTTGTGATTTAGGGTAAATGTGTAAACATTAGATAATTTTGTACTTGTTTCATGGGGGTTGATATGAAACATAAGTTCCCTGAATAGTGTGGATCCCTGTTTCAGTTCATTACTAGCTTAAGAAGATAAAACCCCAATGATTCAGTGTCTTAACAAAAGGCACATTTATTTTTTGCTCACATAAAATTCTCTGAGAGGGAATAACTGTGGAGTGTATGTGGGCCTTCTGGTTACCCTGGGATTTAGGCTGATGGGGCCGCTGCCATCTTCTGTACATGGCTTCCAAGGATGTTTTAAGTGTTAATTTTCAATTGCTGAGTGGAGAAGAGAGTATGGTTCACCTGTGAGAGGATTTTATGAGTTATGCCTACAAGCAGCACAAATCATTTCTGATAATCTTCATTTAGTAAAACTCAGTGACATAATTGACCCTTGCTACAAGTGAGCCTGGAAAATATAGATCAGCTATATCCCTAGGAAAAAAAAAAGAAAAAAGGATTTTGGTGAACACATAACAATCCTTTTTCATCAAATGTCTGAGAATGAATATCAGTTTCTTCTTTTTCCCTCATGTAGAACTACATGATACATGGGATTGCAAGCAAGTCAAGGAAATGTAGTCCAGCTTCATAGCCCAGAAGATGTAGGCATGTAGCTTGGTGAGCAAACTGAATTCTTTGTCTCAATCACCTAACCTGTATCAATGATTGAGGCTTTGCACCATGGCTATGTGACTGTAGACTTGGGGCTCATTTTGTCTTTCTTATAATAGGCATAAAATCAGGATGCTTATATAGATGCCTTGTAAGATATAAACTAGCAAGCACTTAACATACATATGAGAAAATAATAAACATCTGTGTAGCCTTCTCCTAATTTTATTTGTATTAACATTATTTCATATTTGTGACTCAGATTTATGTGAAGGAATAAAATATTAAAGGTATTTAATATTTTATTATATAAAGGCTCCCTGAGTTCTTTTCAATTCTATTCCTATCTCTCCTTTCTCAGTAACATGACCTCCGTGTTTATTATTCTTATGTATTGGCCTTACTTTTTAAGAATTCAAGTACTACTGACTTACCAGTTTCCGATCATAGTCAGCCAACTCTTTTGTGGGTAAGGCATGGTATCCAGGTTAAAGCATCACAGTATGGAAAGCACAAATCCTCCCTGCACCCTCAAAACTATCCTCCCAAGTGTCTCCTAACCTCCTTTTGGTGTTGGGAGAGGAGGGAGATGAGAAATTGGAGTGACAATAAGGTTCAGACCATGACAGGCCTTATATGTCAGCTCAGGACTAGGATTTTATTCCGAAAACAGTGGGATTTCTATTTGTTAATAGCCATGATCATAATTATGGTTTAGAGGGCTAATTTTTGTAGTCATGTTAGCACTGCCTGGAGCTGTTAGAGACCCTAATGAGGAGACATAATATGAACTTCAACTAAAATGGTATCCCACAGAGATGGGCCTCTTCTTAGTATAGACATAGTTCTCATTCTTGCTGCTTCAAAAAAAGGATTAAACTTCAGTTTGGTGTGGGTCTGCCTCAAGCTGCTTCTTTCTACCATATTGACTTTGACCTTTTAATCTAAGTTGTAAAATAGTCTCTCTCCATCAGGATTATAGTTCTGTTGGACTAGTCCTATGTACTTTATATGCATTATCTTTTTAAATATGCTATTCCACAACAATCTGGTAGAATAGCTTCCTTTTTCATTCCATTTTTAGAGCAAGAAAAATGAGTTACAAGGTAGTTAACTAGCTTGCCCAAGATGACTAAAAAGAGTCCAAGGTGAGATGTTTTTAACTTGAGTCTGACTTTCTCATCTTGCTGCATTGTGTCTCTTAAGGAATAAATTTATTGAGAAATTTTTGCTGTGTGCTTTGAAAATAAAAGGAGACTCACAATGAAGGTAACATTGAAAGAGCTCTCCCAAATGAAGTTGTTGGCAGTCACTGAGAAAACAGGCTTGTGCACATCTTGAGCTGCTGCCTAGAGTGTGAACTTTGGCTAACTCCACCCTTTGACTGCAAATAATGACCAGATAATTTCATTGTGCTTAGAGACTCAAAGCACACATCAAGAGGTCAAGGGACTATTGTTTTATAAACATTTCTATTTAGTTTATATATTCCTTTCTTTCTATTCTTTGGGTCATGTAGCCCCCCGCCAAGTAGCACTTGCATTCTTTTCCCACTTCCATAGAATTTCTCTTCAATTTTAGTTACCTTGTGATGTTTTAAGGACTTTTTCCCCCTACATACAATTCTATTTTCCCTCCCTGACTCAGAACACTGATTTAGTCCTATAAGAACTTGTGTATCCTAAGCTGCCATTCCTAAGATCCCAGAGTAAAGTTCTTTTATAGTTTCTGAGTTTGAATTTATTGACAGTTCCAAGTACTACTTTAATCCCTTTATATGTCTTATTCCATTTAATCATCGACACTACCCTTTGAAGTAGAAAGTATCATTATCTCCACTTTACAATCGAGAAACCAAAGTCTAGAGAGTTTAAATAACTTCTTCCAGATGAATTTGATTAAGACGATTGAGACTATACAACCTAGAGCCATTGCTCTTATTGTCTCCAGTGGGAAGGCTTATTATTTTGATCTCCAAAACTACAGGGAGAAGCAAAAGTCTATGCTACAATTTAAAGCATCTTATTAAACTTTATTAATATAACCCTAATTTCAATGTGTCAATATATTGTTGAGAATATAGCTAAAAGCACACACAATACTGGATTTGGAAGGCCATTGCCAATATACATATAGTTCTGCTTCAATTCTTGCCAAAACGAGTTCTCAGTGTGGAAAAATAGTCAAAGGAGAGCTGGGCCAAGAGCTGGAAGGCTAGGGTTCTAATCCTGGTTCTGCCTTGAACAGTCTTCGAGACTGCTTTGGTCTGAAGATTTATATACCTTTAAAATTCATGTTTTGAAACCTAATCTCCATTGGGGTAGTATTAAGAGGTGGGGTCTCTAGGAGGTTTTTAGGCTATGACAACAGAGCCTCCATGACTGGGATTAATGTTCTTATAAAGGAGACTCTAGGGAGCCTTCTGCCATTTCTGTCGTGTAAGGATGAAGTGAGAAGGTGCCCTGTTTGAAGCAGAGTGCGCCCTCACCAGACACCAAGTCTCCTGATACCTCTATCTTGGACTTCCCAGTCTCTAGAACTGTGAGCAATAAATTTCTGTTGTTTATAATCTAACCAGTCTAAGAAAGTCTAGGAAAATGATCTTGGCTGGGTCAATAAACATCATAGTGCTTTAATTTTTTCATCTTAAAAATTCACAAAATGAACTGGAGAATGTCCAATGTCTTTGTCCACTCTGAGATTCTCTCTAAGCCTTTTTTTTCTCCATTTTATCAAAGATGACTTAAAAATGATGAAAATGACAAAATGCTTTTAGAAATGCAAAAAGTTATTTTTAATATTTCCAAATATGAGGACATATAATATTTGCAGAAGTACTGAGAATGATCTATGAAGATATTTTTCTACTAGTATTTCAAACATATAGACATAACAGTATTATTTTTTTGTACATAAAATAATCCAAATCTCTGATTCTTGTAGCTAGCATCTTTATTTTAAAAAGGTTTAATTAAATTAAACATGAGTGTGAAACAAGTACATAACTGAGGGAGTTATGACATCTTTAGGAGAAATCAACTTATGAAAGTTTCAATATAAACCCTCTTGAAAGACATCATAGATTTCATAGAAAATAAATAGACAAAAGAGAAGGCTGGCAAAATGATGCTCCTAGAAAACAGCTTTCCCCTACTCCCTACATGGCTAATTCTTCCTCAAAGAGCCATTTCTTTATTCAAATGTATTTGTACTTAAGTTAAATATATTTATTCAGTTCTTGAAATTCCAAATCCCTTCTCCCCTCAAATGAGGGGATCCTACAAAGGGCAAGGGGGATACATTTTGTTTCTTTTTTTTTTCCCCTAACCCAAAACTCCGAGTATTGTAGGACCTTAGCAGAATTGGTCATTTTTTTTTAAAGTAATGAAAAGATATGTGCTACTTTCCACAACCCCAAATTAATATTTCTTGCTTGTGCCCTTAATTGAAGGTCTTGGTAGTAATTGTATTAAAATCCAGAGCTCTCTTACCCACAACCTGCATTAAGCAATTCAGAGATACATCCCATCTCAATACTCTATGTGTCCCCAAAGAGTTGAGGTGCAACTGATACCCCCACTACTATGGATTGGCATTGCTGGTGGCAGCTTCATTAACCTGCCTCAAGCAGCCTCTTCCTACTTTTCTGATCTTACTACTTTCTGATCTCTTTCTTTTTCTGATCTTATTACTTTCCTTCAGGAAGCTATTGTCTAGTTTCTCACTGGGTTCCAAGCAAGTACTAGACATTGAGGCTACAAAGAATATGCTGGCCTTGTTCTTGAGGGTCCCAAAGTCCAGCAGAAGACTGTGTGGCAGTTGGTTCTTTTTACCCATTTTCATCATCATTCCCTCTTCTGGATTTATTATCTCTCTCTAAAAGGAAGGAACTGCCTAAGATTATTGAGGAGAAAAACCCCCACAAAATCTGTGAGTTAAGACTGAATAAAACATATGGAATCAGACCTAGATATACAGGGCTGACCCTCAGTTCCTGGAGCTTGCCCTCCCCCTCTGCCAGGACAGCAGGGATCCGTGGGGTCTGACATCCTTGGCCCAGTGTTGCAGCCTGGATGGTGCATACACACAGGTATTTTGTGTGTCTTGGTCCTTCAGGACAAGGGTAAATGTCCACTGTCCTTTATTCTTTCATTTCACTAAAGGAGCAGTAGCTGGGCCCCAGCCCTTGCACGGTACAGTCTGTGCTGTCGCTGTCACACTTGCCACAGTGACATTCAGTAGCCACTGGGTATGTGTACAGGGAGTCTGCGTGGTGAGCACAGCCAGGCACTCTCACGGTCTCATACACTAGCTCCTTGAAAGTGCATATTTTCTGGATGTTAGTCCTGGCTGGGTCCTTATATACCAGATCCTGAGGAGATAGAAATGAGACAGTTAGGTCACGGTATTTAAAACTGCATGCTCTCATATTTACCCATTAAAATCTATATTACTTCAGAAATGACCTATTATAGCACATTTTCAGATTGTTTTGGAAAGTATGTTATTTTTTTCTTAATCTGTATGACTATATTAATTCTTTCTCAAAATGTAAAGGAACTTTGAATCTCAATTAAGAAAAACGATGAAAAAGGAAATATGACTTAGAATTTTAAGTTGTCTTTTAGTACTTAATTGAAAGCCATATTAATGACAACTTAAACCATATTCACTGAAGTTTAATTTCTCAGAAAGCATTTTTCCAAATACATTGTCCTGATATATTTTTTAAAAAGTTAAAAAGGATATAATATGAATGCTAGTGTTTAGTTTAATGTGTTTGTGAAGGCTCATGTAAGATATTAAATATTCTAATGCCTCATAGACATTTTCCTCTCTTAAATGCTGTATACTTTGCAGGGTTCTTAGTTTCAAAAGACACAAAGTTTGCAAAAATTTTTTGTTCTAACACTTTATTTTTTTTTTTTAAAGAGAGAGTGAGAGAGGAGAGAGAGAGAGAGAGAATTTTTTTTTAATATTTATTTTTTAGTTCTCGGCGAGACACAACATCTTTGTTGGTATGTGGTGCTGAGGATCGAACCCGGACCGCACGCATGCCAGGCCAGTGCGCTACCGAGCAACATCCCCAGCCCCAGTTCTAGCACTTTCCAGTGAAAAATTTATTGGTACTGAGGGGAGAATATGGGGCTGCTATTTAATTTATTTCAATAAAATCAATATCCCAGTCTATATCCCAAGGAGGTATAATAAATTGTGCATGAATAGAGTTTGATTGATCAAACTTATGTACCATTAAATAAAATATATTTCATTAAAATATTGGTATTTTCAATTTCAGTTTATAGAATGAAATCCTGCATAGATAACCAGGTGCTACAGGGAAAAAAGAAAACAAGTGGAAATTACTTCTTTAATTGGATCAATGCAAAGCCATGCACATTCAAACTAGCAGCTTAGTTTGGCTCTGTGTCTTGGTTTTCTCAGGAATATAAAGGGAGTAGTATTGCTGAAATTGTATTTAAGCAGGTCAAAATGACAATTTTTATAATGTGGCTGTATTTTAATATAACTTGGAAATATATTTTGGTACTGTTTCTACAGCAAAGATAGGGCCTTAATTACAAAAATTGCCTTTTGAGGAATATTCAAGGTCCTTTATGATTAAATATGTGTTTCTGTATTTATCTCTTTATACATGAAATGTAGAAACTATAGTTAGTAGAAATGCTTCATTTAATATTTTTGAAATGTAGAATTGATACATTACAAAATTTATCAGATTAATTCTAAAGCTTTTCTAAATTTATTTAAATTAAATCCTATCCCAAAATTTACGTCATGGTTGTTAACTTCAATCACAGCACAGACACTATTGGCTAAAGGACTCATGGCTGTTAATTAGGAAACATGAAATAGCTATTAGGTAGGAATTAATGAAGCTTGCCTCATGCAGACCCTCAACCCCCTCACTTCCAGCAAGGTGCAGGACCTACCCTGGTGTAGCAGTAGCCTGCACACCAAGTGGTGTTGATGCTTATGCAGAAACGGCACTCTTCTTTCTCCACTGCAATGGTGATGTTGGTTAGCTCACAGCTTTGGCAGCAGATTGCTTTCCAGCAACAGAAAAGGAAGCAAAACTGGACTGACTTCATCCTGGACTGAGAAGCAAACAGCCAAAGCCCATCAGGAATCAAGAAACTAAAGAATTAAAATCACTGTGTAAATTGACCAAATCAAAAGAAATGAGTTAACCCACCTCCCCTAATCACGTTTGCTTTAGCAAGACTTCCCCTTTCTTTATTTTTTTTTTTTTCCCCTTAGGACAATAATCCTTCTCCTCCTCCATCATTTTTTGGTAAAGTAGAAAGACATTGTAAATCAAAGTTCAACATAATGATTTAAGCAAAATGGTATTTAAAGATTACAGTATATTATTGCTGACCATCTTAAAGTGATTAAAGCAAGTAACTTGTGTTCATCATCTTTGCCTTTTCATTAACATTTTTTAAAGACTAGTTTTGTTTAAAAAGAAAAAAACAATTTTATACAACACAATGATTTCTTCATTTTTAGTGTCTCACAAATATTGTTATTTGCTTTTGCCTGCATTTGTTTAAAATAAAACTATTTCAGATGCCAGGAAAATTGGTCTATAAAGTCAATTGCTTGCTAACAGTGATTATAATATATTAGCCATATTAAGGAAACCAGGCTGACAAGCATAAATTCTCTATATGGCAGCAGCATAAAGCTTTAATTTGTTCTCTAGGTCCTGAAAAACCAGTAATTTAAAAAATAGCCATTCCCACTTGATAACTGTGAATGCCAAGACTCACCTGTGGTTGTTTCTGTCTTGTGTAGGGTAAGCTGTAGACTAAGTCAAGTCTCAGTTCACCTTTTATACAAAATCATGTGCAACTAACACCTTGTGGATTTCTTGGGTATTAATAGAATCAGTGCTAACCTGAAGCTTGCTGTAAGTGAAACGGTGTTTAGATAGACAGGGAGATCAAGCTTTTACTAAGGTAGTCTAAACGCAGTAGATCAGAAAAATAATGTTATCAGAGATGTTGATTTTGTACAAATTAAATTTGATATAGTAGCACACCCACTCCTTGACCTTGTCAAATTAAATATGACTCTAGGTTTTTCTTTTTTATCTTCAACTTGGGGAATTCAGAACCCTTTTCAAGGATTGCTTTGGTCTTGTTGAGGATGCACATCAAAAAGATACAGTTAATAGTAAGTGGTTCCAAGAGCAGAATGAAATCTGTGAGGGAAGAAATAAGCAAATAGAAAGCATTTCAGGATCTAACTCCTATATAAATTGTGAACTATATATTTCTTTACCTCCCATATCCAGATCTCCTAATCTTAATCCTGATTTTTTTTTGGTGATTTAGAAAGAGCTTTCTACCTATTATGATTCTCTAGATATGCTGTTGATTCATTCCTTCAGATATTTGCATGTGATGTTTTTTCTGCTTGCTTACCCCATCTCACCCAACATCAACTCCACCCATGAAAAATTCCCCAACTTTTAACACCCAAAGGTGTTTCACCTGACAAAGTTTAGGATAGCAGGAGAGAGAGAGAGAAAGAGAGAGAGAGAAAGAGAGAGAGAGAGAAAGAGAGAGAGAGAGAGAGAGAGAGAGAGCGCTTTAATCACTTTTTTCTATTTATAATCATTTACATACATCTGTTTTCTCCAGTAGACTATGAGCTCCTTAGAAAATGAGGATGATTTGTTTAAAAAATATTTATTTACTAAATAGTGTGACTGGAATAGAAGACCAATGGTAGAAATAATAGGATATGAAGTCGGAACTAGAACAAAAATCAAATCATGTGGGACCTTTTGTTATAGTTAAAGCTTTGTCCCAGGGTTTCATAAATTGACTTCCAGACCACTCACGTATTCGAATCAAGCCTTTATTGAAGCATACTGGTGGCGGCTGACCAGAACATAAAGCTGTTCCCCTGATCAGCCCTGAACAATTGCAAGGGCACTCCTTATAAGCCTGAAAACCGCAAAAGGGATGTTCAGGTAGTCTAGCCAATGCAAGCAAGCCAGGTTACAGAAGCGGGACAGTGCAGTCAAGCGGAGGGAAGTCTAACCAATCACAGTTATCCCAGTCACCCCAGTTACAGAAACAGAGCCCGGTTACCCTAGTAACAGAAACAATGCCCCATTAGGTAGTTCTGTGTTCTTAAAGGTTTCTATAGCAAAAGGAAAAGAACATCTTGCCCCTGTCATGACTCTTCTACTTGGCATGGTTGTTTTACAGGATGAAGTTATAAAACAAAATGGAGTCACATTTGCTCCCACTGTCACACTTTTAGGCCAATGTAGAGTCTTTGGTTTTTATTGTATGTATTGAGGAACGCATTGCAGGATTTTGAATGGAGGAGTGATATGATCTGAATTAGATCTAAAAGTCTCCCTCTAACTGCAGCATTGCTCATGTAGAGGAACAAAGATGGAAACAAAGACCTATTAGGATGCTGTTGCAACAACCTAAGTGAGAGATGATGTTTGTTGAGACTGGTGTGGCAGCGATGGAGCTTATGAGACATGATGTGACTCTGGATTACTTCGAAAGAAGAACTAACAAAATTTCTGATGGGTAGATGTTATGCATGAGAAAAAGAAAAAAATAAGGTTGAATATAAAAATTCTGGTTTGAGTAAATGGATGGATTAAGTTATCCCAACTGACATGGAATTGGTGTAGCAAGCTTAGGGAAAGAATAAGGAGTTTAGTTTGGACCTTTGAGCTCAAGGTGTTTATGATACACCCAAGTAGATTGCTGAATCTGTATTTTAGGGAAAAATATATTGACTGAAGGTATAAATTTGGGAGTCAATGGCATAAGCCTGAACGAAATTATCAAGGGAGGGAGAGCAGATAGAAAAGGATGTGGAATTGTGCTTGGTGTATTCCAATATTAAGAAATCAGATGCAATGAAGTCCCTCTCCCTTTTCTAAAGAAGACTGAAAAGGGTCACTGAGGAAGGTAGGGAATAGAGAGAATGTGGTATCACAGAAGCCAAGTAAAGAAATGAGTGGCTGGGTAATATGGAAGCAGGATAAAAATAATTTTCTTTTGATTTTAATTTTAAGATGGGAGGAATAAATGCCTGTTTGTATGGTGATGGGAATGACTGAACAAAATAAGTGATGATGTCAGAGGCAGAGAGGAGAATTCTGAAGTGCTCTTGAAGAGGTGAGATAAGAAAAGCTTTAGAGCACAGAGGAGAGCTTGACTTTAGATAAGACCATGGAGAGATTATTTCAGTATTGGGCAGGAAGGCAGAACTTAGATGCTGGTGAGGGGACAGGTGTGGGTGCAGATGTCAGTGGGCCAGCAGGTGTGATGAATGCAGATGCTGGTGTGGGGACAGGTGTGGTGGTGCAGATGCTGGTGGGTGGGCAGGTGTGATAGATGCAGGTGTTGGTATGCTGGCAACTGTGGTTGGTACAGATGCTGGTGGGTGAAAAGATAGGCTCTGAAATCTGGCCTATGATTTATTTCATTTTTCCAGTAAAACAAGAAATAAAGTCATTACTAGAGAGTAAGGATGAGGGAGTTGTTGAGAATTTGGGAAAAAGGAAAAGATTTGAAATGGTTGTTAGAGATTGGGAGAGGGACTGAATTTGCAGTGTATAATGTGATTGCCTAGTAGTGTGAAGGCCCCACTAGAGGTTTATGGTAAAAAAATTTAACATGGGACTCCTTAGCATGCATGTGTACTTTTCTCTGGACTGATTTAACAGCATGGTTCAGGTACATGGGTTACAGAAGTTTGTTTATCCAGACTTATGATTTTTATCAAATATGTTGACAAAGACAAGATTCACCATAGTACTAGATGCTGTAAGTACTAGTTCATAATCTGGACATTTTAAGTACTAATTAAATATCTATGTAAGTAAATATCATGAATATATAACTATTTTGAAACCTTTCAGCAGTTGGTAAGAAAGTATATCTTCTGTTATAGAATGAATAATTAAATTTTACATAGTACAGATTAAATGAAAGACACTCATGATTCCTGTAAAACTATAAACACTTTCAGTATTTTTCAAGAAATATTGCTATAACTCTTGGTAATATCACAGATTGTAAACAAAATCTTTTCATGCTGCCTGTGTGTATTCACAAAGTATTATCTGTGTGACTACATGAACTTACAAGTTTTAATGACTAATGTATGAGTTTCTTCATTATGCAATTTAAATATTAATAGCTACTTTTTATTAAGCAGTAACCATATTAAAAATATATATAATATTTACGAATTAATGTCATTGTCTTTTCAATGTCTCTTCAAGGTTTTTTGAAAAATTCTGCTGATGAGGATGTAGAACTCTTTCTTACGCATCTTTGTATCCCAAATAAATAATTTCTAATGCACAGTAGGCACTAATATACTTTTGATGAACCAATTAAAACACTACTCTTTGTTTCTCACTTTACTGTGTTGGTTCCTAGCCATTTTGCTGTCAAGTGCATGGCTTGCTCTTGCTCTGTTCCAGTTTGTTTTGTGGGAGAAAGGACCTCTGTAGGCTGCCTTTCCCAATAGTAGGCTTTTGCTTTTCTGAAAGGAGGTAAGGAAATGAAAGGAAGAAGTGGGAGCATTGCTCACCGTTGCATTTTGTTTCCTTTCTTGGCAGTGAATGCAATTTTTTTTTCTAGTCCCATCTTTGTGTGATTCTTGTCATTTGAGGAAAGCCTGGCTGTGGCTTGAGCCTCTACTGAGTGTTCTCATCTTCTGGTCTCTGGCAATCCCACTCTGTGTCCCTTTAGTTCTGTGGGCAAACAGAGCTTTCTGCTGTTGCTCTTCTCTGGTTGACTTGGTTCCCCTGTCTGGCTTCTCACCAATTCTAGCATTTGAATGACTAATTTTCTGTGTTAATCAATCCGTACGTTCCCTCTGATTTACCTACCAGGACTTGAAACTGCTTTCCTGACTTGAAACTGATGAATACACTTACCTTTATTTCTAGCCCTGTAGAAATAAAACTTGGTTGGGATTTAGTAAAATAATGTTAATTAACTCAATATTTGTCAATATTAAAATTTCTTAGGAAACCTGTTAAATTATCCTTTATCTCCAACACTTTCCAAAATCACCTGAATTTTCTCTTCTTTCAGGGAAACAAGATTCTATTCCTCTGCCTGATGCGTGTTTCTCATCTCCTTTTTATCTAAGCTACTCCTGAAAGCACTTCAAGATTTCGTCAGGCATAATTTCTTCTAGAAGGTACTCACTGTCCCTTCCTTCCATGGTCTCCAATGCTTACTCTCTAGTACCTTCTGTTTTATGCTTCCTTACTTCCCTGTCCCTACCTTAGTGGTGACATTCATCTTATTTTACCTGCACAGCAGACATCTCCTGAGAATTCTGGTAGTCTAATTTTCACAACTATTGACATATCTCTAGAATTTGTGTGCCTATACTTAATGGCCTATGTCTTTTTTTTTATTAATAAAGAAAAAATTAAAATGAGGTTTTTATATTTGAGTTTAAAATGGAAAAATTATTTGTACTCAATGTCTTGATAAATTACACGATACTTTCATAGTCTGGCATCCTTTTCCTCCTTTTATTTTGCCAATGTCATATATGCTTTCTAATTTACAGTTGTGAAATATTTAATATAGTTTGTTTTTTCTGATTCCTTTATTTATTCATTAAAATTATTTTAATAATTAAGTTTACTTACTTTACTTAAATTATAAACTAATAAACTATATAATGTAATGTTTCCATAGAAAGTACTAAATTTTTATTAAATTTGTACCCAACAATGGTATAGACCTTTGCTATCCAATATGGTGGCCAGTGTGATAATTATGCACTGAAATTGGGCTAGTACAAATTAAATTGTACTGATGAGTATAAAATATACACTGTATTTTAAAGACACATGAAGAAGCATATCAAATATCTCATGAATAATTTTTGTCTTGATTATATTTGAAATGAAAATACTGTGAATATGTCATTGAGTTAAAATCTCATCTATGCCTTTTTACTTTGGCCTTAATTTATAATGTGGTAACTATAAAACTTTAAATTATATAATGTCTCATATGATATTTCTGTGTACCTTTATTTACTTACCTTTATTTCTAGCTCTGTAGAAATAAAACTTGTTTGGGATTTAGTACAATAATATTAATTAACTCAATCTTTGACAATATAAAAAATTGCTTAGGAAACCTGTTAAATTATCCTTTATCTCCACAGTTTCCGAAATCAGTGTGACAGCACCGGCATTGAACTTGATGGTGCATAAGTAAATTTGCAAAGGTCACAAGACCTGCTTACTGGTCTAATGCCTGGTCCACGTGCACTACCTATTAGCAGGCTAGGTCAACTGATACATCTGTGAAAAACAAAATAAAAAACCCACTGGTTGCCAGTGCTTGTTCATATAAAGACATAATAATGAACTTGATGTTTTTCAGTGAAGGGGTCAGGAGGGTCAGTCTTTATATTTTCAGGTAAACTTATTGTTCTCATCCATTGGGGCAGTCAGATGGAACATTAATTTATTTCTTCAGATAAGATACTGGAACAACAAAACAAAATCAGATGCTCATCTCTGTTGCATTTTCCTTCCTCAAAGAAAGATTGAGCAAAATGGCATAGAATTCTCCTGATAGGAGCTCTTTTAAAAGCAGTAATAGCACTCTGAATATTCCATGATGGTGTTCCAGTAAGAAGTCAGTACATTTAATATCAGTCAACTGATAATGCATGAAGCTAAAAATATTTCCTGGGCTTTATAGCAATTAGATCCTGCATAGAGTAAGCATTCAGTAAGTACATATGGATTTGATTTTGTTTTGATGCTAATTGGCAGGTTTCTAGAAACTAAAGTTTATAGCACTAAGAACAGAGTGTACATCCAAGTAACTAACAGTACACTGGTGCTTGATGTGGGCTGTGCTAAAGGACAATCTTCTACCAAAAGGCCAGACACAGTGCAGATGTTAGTTGTTTTTGCTTTAGGAAATTGTATCTCATTTATATGTATACACAAACACACAAAATACTGTGGTAATATTTTATAGTGTGTTCACATTTTAAGTTCATGCAGGTATTTGGCGGAGGTATTACTGTCCTTGTTTTAAAAAGTAAAAACATTTATTGAGCAATTTACTCTATAGCAGTCATTGTGCTAAATGTTTACATCCATTACATCATCGAATGTTCTCAGAAGACTTTTGTATATGTTATTATCATCCAGAAATTACAAATACAGAAATAAGAATCAGAGAGGTGCATTAAAGTACCCAATGTCACAGCAAATAAGTGGCAGAGCTTCCATTGCCAGACCCTACAATGAGACTCCAGAATGCCAGGCATTACTATAGTTACAAGGCATTTTTCTAGACAGATTGACCCAGAAACTATTCAGAATCCATATTGTGTGTTTTCTGAAGTTTTGATTAAATCTTTTTTGATTTCTTCACCAGACAAGGAAGAACCAATTGGGGAGATAGGAGAAATAGAATCTTGTTTAAAAAAAATGGAAGAAAAAGGTAAGGGAATTGTACAGTAAATCAATCATCAACACAAGGAAGCTTGTTATAAAGCTAACCTAAGAATGAGTTACTTTTCATTGAACATGAATGTGCCAAACTTCATGATGAAACATATTATATGTACCATTGCAATTCATTTAATCCTTACAACCAGGAAATAAGTACTACAATCACGTCCATTTTAGAGATGAGGAAACTGTAGCACAGACAGTTCAAATACCTCTACCATGTTTATGTAGCTGGTAAGTGGGGAAACTGAAATTCAAACAGCTGTCTGGTTTTGAGCCTCCACTTTTACCAACTGTCATCAGAATAAAATTCAGCACATTTTCAAATAGATACTTATGTTCCTCCAGTGCTCCTTCACTCTGGAGCATGTGTGTGTGTGTGTGTGTGTGTGTGTGTGTGTGTGTGTGTGTGTGTAGAAAGTAACTCTCTAGTCTTGAATATGTCTTGAATGTCCCACAGAGGTTCATGTTACAGAAGCTTGGTTCCCACTGTGGTGTTGTGGAGGTGGTAGAACTGCTTGGAGACAGGGTCTAGTAGAAGATGATCAGCTTTTGGAAATGATTAACCCTGATCTTTCTAGACATTCCATCTTTCCATTGCTTTTCAACAAACAATGACAGAAGCAACAATAATGACAGCAAAATTAAACATTCCAGAAAAATACCAAAATGACAGCAGCCAATTTTGTAGTTGTTTTGCTTGTCTCTAATGGTCAGAGTAGCTTTCCTTGCAAAATAGAATTGCTAGAATCTAGGTTTTTGCCTGAAGAAAAATTACTTCCAATATAAATAACTGATCTCATATCTACTAATAACAATTACATATTGGAAGGAGGTTGAGACAATAGGTTGATTATGTGAATTTTGTAAATATTAATACTTTCTAGGTGATTTCCTTTTCTCTTTCTGATAGACCAATGCCCATCTTGCATTACCTGATATTAGACCTTCTTCTACCTGGTACGGCTTCCTCGCTCTCTTGCCATTTACTTGTCTTATTTCATTAAGAAATCCAAAAGCAGAATGGAGACTGTTTTAGTCAGCTTTTTTTGCTGTTGTGACTAAAGGACCCAACCAGAACAATTGTAGAGGTGGAAAAGTTTATTTGAGGGCTTATTTGGTTTATTTGGTTTCAGAGTTCTTAGTCCATATACAGCCAGCTCCATTACACGGGGCTTAAGGTGAGGCTGAACATCATGGAGGAAAAGTGTGGCAGAGGGAAGCAGTTCACATGGTGATCAGGAAATAGAGATCGAGGTCTCTACTGGCAAGATACAAATATATATCCCAAAGCCACATCCCACCACTTCAGTTACCACTCAGTTAGTCCCTATCAGGAGATTAATTCACTGTTGGGTTAAGACTCTCACAACCCAATCATTTCTCCTCTGAACCTTCTTGCATTGTCTCACATATGAGCTTTTGAGAGATACCTCACATCCAAACCATAACAAAGACAATTTTGAATGAGAGCCATAAATGTTTAAGAGAGGCAAAAGATGATTTATTGTTTTAATTCTACTTTGCATCAAGAGTTATTTATATAACAGTTCAAAATTGCTTTCACTTTTATTATCTCATTTTATTCTCAATTGATCTTCAGAACAATCTCTAAGGTGGCAAGGACAGGCGTTACTATCACAATAAGACAAAGTTAAACCATTGAGTGACTTGCCTCCACTTACATTGAGCGGCTGAATTTTGACTCACAGTTCAACTTTTTATTAAAAAAAAAGACATGTAATTTAAAGCATTCTATTAGAGGTGACTTCAGAGTTTATTTTTAGCACAGAGAAAGATAGCAATTGCAGGAGCACAATGTGGCAGAGACTGATGTTTTTCTCTTTGTATCCTTCCTCCTTCTCTCCTAGGAATAGAATTTTTAGCTGGGCTTATAGCTGCCCAGAATAAAGAATAAATGTCTCACCTTCCTTGAAACCAAAATGACCACATTGTGAGCAAAAGCATATAAGTAGAGTGCTGTGTAGCAGCTCTCAGGATCTTGAGAAAACATGCTTTGAGTAATATTTCCCTTCTTCCACACTGCTTCTTATAATGTGGATGTGTCCTCTTGGGCTAAGAGGATGCACTGGTGGGGCAGCAACCTGCAAGTCACCTGGGTTTACCAGAGCAGAGTTCTCAGTCTGGCTGAGACTGTATAACTTTAGAACTTTTAATGAAAGGGAAAATGATCTCTATTTTGTCTAGGCCCCTATTATTTTGGATCCCCATTACTTTTAGCTGGATGAGTGGAACACGTGGTCAAAACCATTATCTCAAGACAGATCAGGTGGTTTTGATAACCATCTGTGATGGAATTTATGGGGGTCTGGATGTATCTAGGTCCTTTGACATGAGTCCAAGATTGAATATTAACACTAAGAACTCGGAAATATCCAATTAGGGAAACTGCCATTTTCAAGCTGCAGATTTTTGTCCACTAAAATATGGAGATTTAATTCGTCTTTGAAGCAAAACTTTGGTGCTAGATGGACATGTGTGCAGCATGGGGCATTTTTTTTTTTTTTTGGTATCCATTTCTTTTTTTTATTCTAGCTCCTCCCTGGTGCTGATGGAAAAGTAGTGTTTTAGCATAAAACATTGATGTGATGCTATTAGAGACAAGAAGGTGATATTCGATTATAGGTACTCATCTATGAAGAATTTGAAAAACATAATATTTAACTATAAAAAAGCC